GATTACAAACTATAGTCTCAGTGTCCTTTGTTTATGGCTAATATCTACTTATGAGTGAGTACAAACCATAATAGTTTTTTTTGTGGGTGTCTGGGCTACCTCATTCAGGATAGTGTTTTCTACTTCCATCCATTTGCATGCTGTTGCAATAAGGAGTGGCGGGCCACTTCCTGCTGCCCAGCTCTTGGCTAGTTTACACCCAAAATAATTACATGGAAAACTGTATTCATTTAAACATTGCCTGACCCATTATATCTAGCCTCTTTTTGGCTAACTCTCACATCTTAATTAACCCATTTCTAATAATCTGTATATCACCACTTGACTGTGGCTTACCAGGATGAGTCTAACCTATGTCCATCTCAGAGAGGAGAGCCATGGAGTCTGCCTTACTGTCTTTTTCCTCCCAGAATTTTGTTCTGTCTACTCTGCCTATCTAAGCTGCTGTCCTATCAAAAGGTCAAGTTAGTTTCTTTGTTCAACCAATAAAAGCAACACATAAAAAAAGACCATCCTACACCAGCATGCAAAATTCAAGATGTCATTGTTTTTTACCACTGAGTAGTACTCTAATGTGTAGATGTGCCACACTTTCTTTATCCATTCTTCAGTTGAGGGGCATCTAGATTGTTTCCAGGTTCTGACTATTACAAAATAAAAGAGACATACATAGATCTAATCTATATGGGAAGTTTAAAAAGACAAGATCTCCTGAGTAAATTGGGAGCATGGGAACCTTGGTGGAGGGTTGAAGGGGAGAGGAGAGGCAGGGAGGAGAGCAGAGAAAAATGTAGAGCTCAATAAAAATTAATAAAAAAGAAAATACAACTATAAAAATTATCGGGGAAGCAGTAAACATACAATTTAGAGGGAAATATATGTCACAGAACACAAAGTTTAGAAAATAAAAAACAATTTAAAATTAATTATGTTAAGAACTCAAAGGACCAGAGAAAATACACACAGAGAGACACACACTCACATATACATACAAACACAGACAGACAGATGAACAGACAGAAAGGCAAACAGATAGAATTAGTTGAAATTAAAAACCAAATATTAAAGAGAGTCAATAAAGCCAAAAGCTGGTCCTCTTAGTAGAGTGATTAAAAAAGAAGCCATTAGTCAAACTAAAAAAATGAAGAAAGGGGGATGCTATATGTTTCAATAAAATTAGCATAATAATAGAAAACTATGAACAACTTCATATTCACACATTAATAATCTAGATCAAAGCATCATTTTCTTTAAACAAAAAGTATTTACAGTTACTTCAGTGGTTTTTACATGGTCCGCCCTTATCTGACTCAAAAAACCTACACTGGAGTTACACATAGATGCTAGATATCGCCTCAACAGAAAAGGTAAGTATGCATCTGATTTTCTCCCTGTTTCTACTTTCCTCTAGGTATGTTTAGGAGTGATCAGAGGCTGTCATCAGTCCCCACCTAAGGGGTTCGAAAGAATTGGCACTAGATTGGTCCTGGGTAATTATTGTATCTCTAATCTGTTATGCAGGATCTGGACACCTCTGGGATGCAGAGCCCTTGGGTCCAGAGAAGGCTAGAAGCGGGCATGTAAGAAGGTGTTGATTACACAGGTTGTTCTTTCCTGAGCTTTTAAGGAATAAATGTGACCAGGGTCTGAAACAGGGACTTTAATTCATCTTCAGTCATTCTAAATCAATTGTCATGTGGTATCTACTTTCTTCCTACATATTGAACTTGTATTTCCAGATTTATGACAGTATGACTGGAAGTTTTCAGGTATGATAATATTCTTTGCTGTTTCCATACTTTGCAACACTTGCCATCTTTTGTTTTAGAACATTAGTAAACTTTGATCACATTTCCTATCAAAAAGAGCTTCCTCCTTATTGCAACAATGCTGACCAGAGTATTGACATCACTTGGGTGTCCATTTACAAAATTGTATGTCAGCTTCAAACCCAGAGTCTGTATTTCCAAAGAATCCCAGGTGACTTGCATGTATATTAACTGCTAGAACCATGTACAATGGGAGGTTCTCGTCTGTTATTGAGATCAAGAATTGTGAGTTGAAAAATTGAAGAAGTGAAGTCCATTAGGTCATCAGCAGTAAGCTTCTCAGATAACCTCTGCTTTGCAATATCTGTATGGAAGCCTACATGAGACATGGGCTCACTTATTCACAGAATATGAATAGTACTGAGCAACTATGTGCATGATTTCTCCTGTAGTGTTCTTCCTTTGTCACCAAACATAACCTCAGAATATTGAAAATTTAATGCCGCTGCCCTAGTGACCTTTAGCGGGGTGGAGACCCCACCAGCTGAGCTCAGTCAGATAGTGTCAGTGGAAGGATTTCCCACCTCCCTGGGTGTCATTAATTTTCTTTGTCTGTTTCATTTAGAGGTGAACTCAGGGCCTTGGGCATGCTAGGTAATTATAGTACCACTGAACTAAATGCTCAAGTGCTGTCCTTATATCTCTTTGTGCTTCTCCTTGATTTTCTTTGCCAGCCAGCTTTGATAAAGACAGGGATTTGTTAGAGAGAATGATGTAGAAGAAACCAGAACAGGACAAGAAACTCTTTCAAGATGAAGCTTACATAATTGGGAATTGAGAAGTCTGTAGATTAGAGAGACCCTGCAAAGAGTGAAGGTTACAGTTTCAAATCCAAGGCAGTCTGGATGATGTTTCTTGAGAAACTGTAGATTTTGTCTTTTACCAGCTGTTCATGTGAGGATTATTACATTATTAGAGATTGGAGTTACTTTCTTTGATAATGTGAGTTACTAATTTACATACATAGACCATCTTGCTGAAACATGCAGAAGATCATTTTGACCCAAACTGCTATCGAGATCTATATTAATTCCTACAATAATTAACTATCACATTAAATAATTAGGTATGAATATATGAAGATCAATTTCAGTGAAGGATTAAACATACCTACTGCTTCATATTTGTTTTTGTCTTCATGAATATTCATTATAATTATTTTCCTACATCACTATCTGTGGAATCATATGAATTGAAGCACAAAAGTTTTGAGTCATTAGTATTTTTGAAAAAAGAAAAAATATCTCTACAACCGTAACACTTTCCATAAATACAATTATGTCTGTAAAACTAATCACAGAGTATCAAGTTTTCATGGTAAAATCTCAAGGTTAGTGAATTCATATTCTTGGGAGATTGAAGAAGAGCAATTACTTTGATTCAGTGTGCATTTTTGCCTTAAATTTAAGATTCTATGTCTCAGGCTACAGGACATCCAGAAAATATTCATGGACACTGGGTCACATCGAAGCAAGGATGTACTTGCTTCAGGATAAGAGCATGTATGTCCTTTCTTGCATGAATTTTAAGTCTGGCAACAATAGCTCTTCTCAGGGCCATCAGAATCTATGAGATTATACAAGATGTTGGGGGATTATGGTAGCAGGTGTTACTGTGTTTAGAGACACAAGAAAAATTCAACTTAGCATATGTCATGTCATATTGTGGAAGGATAAGTTAGATAAGTCACACCACAAATGAGAGGATGTGATAGACATGGAGAATATCAAATCCAAAATTATGGAGACACAAGTTTCAATTTGAAGTACAACATTGATGAAGAGAAGAATACAGACACCATGTGAGGCCATATTGGGCTGTAGAGGTTGCCACAAGTCAGGCAAACAAGTATTGGTTGTGCACATATTAGGAATTTTGCCCCTAAGAACAAGATGGTCATCTAAGTAATGTATCAGGAGAGAGAAGAGTGTATTTCCATCAGAGAATCCTAGTGTGTTTTAAATATACTGAAGTAAATATTGTTGAAGCATGGGACATAGGTTGGAATTAATGCTGACTAAAATATTTCAGATAAGAAATTGTGGTGTCTTTTTGTTTTTTTTTCCATTTTTTTTATTGAGAAAAGGAGAAAAAAAAAACAAGTTTCCACCTCCTCCCAGCCTCCCATTTCCCTCCCCCTCCTCCCACCCTTCTCCCCCTCCCCCCACTCCTCTCCCCCTCCAAAAAAAAAGAAGAAAAGAAAAAAAAAAGAAATTGTGGTGTCCAATTCTAAGAATATGATTGGATTGTTTTAAATGTCTGGTAAAAGAAAGATGAAAATAAGAATATTTAGGATATTATAGTTTAGAGTTCCAAGTAAGAAAAAATGAAGTGCAATAAAATAAATACCCTTTATTACATTATGAGAGACAGGAGATATGGGAGAAAGAGTTTGGAAGGGAGGAGAGAATTTCTCTTGGGATGTATTGAGTATTTGATGGCTGTTAAAAAAACAAGGATGATTATTAGTTAGCAATGAGGTAGTGAATTCTGTAGGTTAGAAAGACAGGTACATCTGACTTTTAAATGGTAATCTAGCACATTAAAGTATTTGTGTATATTTGGGAAGTTTTTTAAAATGATGAAATTGTGTGTACAAAAATCCTTCAAGAAAATTCACAGAATAAAACTGTAGAATGAGCTGAACTACAAGTGCCTAGAATAAGAAGGTATGCAGGGAGTAGATATGTCAATACCTTTTGTATAACAGAGCAATTATGAGTCATTAGGCAATACTAGACTATTAGAACATGATAAAGCAACATTTAGAAAAGCCATCCTTGCCTATAATGACTGAACATATTTTGATGTAAAGGTTACAATCATTTTGATGAGAGTAATATTAACAACTATAGAACTTATGACATGTCATGTGTGTAAAAATACATTTCTGATTTTATTAGGTCATTGAGATGAATTGGCGGGGCAGTTGCCAACACTGTTTAAAGGACTGGGTTTGTATGCAACCTATTACCAAGAATAACTTAGGAAGCTGCATGTTGTAGTGGAGCAAAAATTATAAAGATTAAAGAATATAAAAAATTGAAAAAATCTTTTTAAAGTAAAGAAATGAAAGAATGACTAGAATTGATCTATGAACTCATACATATTCAACCACTGGGAGTTTATAAAACTGTTAATTAGATTTCTTAAAGTCATTGGGGTCAGATCATGATGGGAAACAACCAAAGTGTCATTCATCAGTTCCTCCTCCTGGGCCTGCCCATCCCTCCAGAGCACCAGCACCTGTTCTATGCCCTGTTCCTGGCCATGTACCTCATCACTGTCCTGGGGAACCTCATCATCATTATCCTCATTCTACTGGACTCCCATCTCCACACTCCCATGTACTTGTTTCTCGGCAACTTATCCTTTTCTGACCTCTGTTTTTCCTCAGTCACCATGCCAAAATTGTTGAAGAGCATGCAGGCCCAAGACCCATTCATCTCCTATGCGGATTGTCTGACACAAATGTACTTTTTTATGGTTTTTGGAGACATGGAGAGCTTCCTTCTTGTGGTCATGGCCTATGACCGCTATGTGGCCATCTGCTTCCCCCTTCATTACACCAGCATCATGAACCCTAAGTTCTGTGCTAGTCTATTGATTCCATTGTGGATGCTGACCGCGTTTCATGCCATGACGCACACCCTACTCATGGCTAGATTGTCTTTTTGTGAGAAGAATGTGATCTCCCAATTTTTCTGTGACATATCTGCACTCCTGAAGTTGGCTTGCTCAGACACTTCTGTTAATGAGTTGATGATATTTATCATGGGTGGGCCCATCATTATTGTACCATTCCTACTCATTGTTATGTCTTATGCAAGGATTGTCTCCTCCATTCTCAAGTTTTCTTCTGCCAAGGGCATCCACAAGGTCTTTTCTACCTGTGGTTCCCACCTGTCCGTGGTCTCACTGTTCTATGGGACGATTATTGGTCTCTACTTATGTCCATCATCCAATAACTCTACTGTGAAGGAGACTACTATGACTATAATGTACACAGTGGTGACTCCCATGCTGAATCCTTTCATCTACAGCTTGAGGAACAGTGATATGAAGAGGGCTCTAAGAAGAGTTATCTATGACAAGAATATCTCTTTGTAATAGTAGCACTTGGGCTTGCTATTTGCTGGTGAAATGTGGTGGAAGGAGACAGGAACGATAGGAATCAGTATCAGTGAATGAAAAGATGAGATGAAAGGAGAGAGTTCTTGGAGAGGGGGTTGAAATTGGAAAACATTTGAATAGAAGTGTTGAAAATTAGTGTAGTCAAAATTCCCTGATAACTATGAGGGAGATCATAGTGAGGTCAACAAAGCAATGGGGTATACGGAGTTTCAACTGGTCATCTCTTGTAGCAAGGTAAGACTTCCAGTGGTGGAACTAACGGCATTTGATTGATATTTTTGTTTCTTTGTTTTTGTTTTTATTGTTTTTATTTAATTCATTTATTAATTTTACACCCCAACCACAGTTTCTCTTTCTTCCTCTCCTCACATTCCTTCTCCTCACCTTTCCTCTACCTTCCTTCAATCCACTTCTCCCCTTTTTCTGTTCAAAAATGGCAGTCTGGGAGCATAGAAAATTGCAGAGCTCAATAAAAAGCAATTAAAAAGGGCAGTCCTCCCACCAGTATCAACCGAAGCATAGAATACCAGGTTGCATTAAGACTAAGTTCCTATCCTTGTATTAAAGGTAGACAACGCAATACAGTATGAGGAATAGGTTTCTAAGAGCAAGCCAAAACCTTAGGGACAGCCCCTGCTTGCATTGTTTGAAGTGCCACAAGTAGACCAAACTATACAACTGTCATATGTATGTAAAGGGCCCAGGTAAGTCCCATGCAGTCTCCCTGGTTGTTGGATCAGAATCTGTATCTTTTAATGAGCCAGATTAGCTGATTTTGTGGATTCTCTTGTAATGTTCTTGACTCCTCTGACTCCTACAATCCTTTCTTTCTTCATCAAGGTTTTCTAAGTTTGACATAATATTTGGCTGTGGGTCTCTATCTGTTTCCATCAGTTACTGGATGAAGACTCTCTGATGACAATTAGGGTAGTCAACAATCTGATCACAGGAGATGGCCAGTTTGTGTTACATATTCATTATTTCTAGAATTTTTACCTGGAAGGGGGGATCATGCTTTAAAATTTGTGGGTGTTTCCCTTGTACCAGGTTTATACCTTACCTTGAAAGGTCACTCTTTTCTAATCACCTCTTCAGAACTCTCCCATTCCACCCTCTCCAAACCTGCTGTGAATATTTGATCTCACTATGAAAGCTGAGACTATGTTAATGAAATCAATCTTGAGTCAGAGCCAGTAACCTGTTGACAGGAATTAGTCATATAAAGTATTAAGGACCCAGGAAAATGAATGAAGACATACACAGGAAGGCATAAGGAGGGACTAAGAGATTCATCATCTTTTGGTTTGAGACAAGTAGAAAGATGCTTCCTGTGATGAGTTTCTGTTCAAAAAGGAAGGTCAAGTGGCTTCTTCTTTGGTTCTCTGATCTAGTAGGTGTTCACCCAAAATCTAACTTAATCTTTACCGGTAAATAGAACAATAGAGAATTAGTACACACCTACATTTGGCAATAGTGGCAATCCAATGCTAGCAAGACAAGAAATCCACCAGGCTATAGGTGAAGGTCAAGGTGCTAACAGTGAGGCTATGGGGACACAAATAGCAGTTAAAATAGCAGTAGATTCAGGTGCATCCACTAAGCCAACATGAAAAAATCTTCTGGTGTTACAACATGTTGCATGACCACACAAACAGAAAAAACACACCATGCTGTGATATTGATGGCAATATGAGGTTCTACTTCAAGAACTAACACAACTGGTGGGGACCCCAGAGGGTGGGCTCCTACTCTGGAATTGTAGAAGCAACTCTGAGCTCACTGCTGACATTACTGCTTTCAGACAAGCTGAAATAGGAAGATTTGGTAAGACACCTGGAAAATTCTTAAGGAGAAAGTTAAGCAATATTAGAAAGAGAAATCTTTCCTATATTAAGAATGGCAAACGTCACAATGCAAGGAATAGGAAACTCAATAGCACTACTGTTGATGACTTGAAAGTATAAAACATAAATGAAGGGATAACTGACTTATCTGGGATTGAGTAATGTTGCTATAATTGTAATGTTGCTTATAATTACTATCAGTTTGGTAATTCATATTTTATCCATAAAAAGTGGTTTGATTACTGTACCAAAGGTGAAATTTTGATTGATAAGACACAATTCTTAGAAAGATTTACTAAATAAAATAAGAAAAAAAATTAGTTGATAAGATGCAAGCCTTAAAAATGACCTACTAATAAAAATAAGAAAAATACTCAGACACAGACAAGGGAATTTAGACAAAAATCTACCACACCACTGCACGATAAAATTGAAGAGGAGTGGTCCAAGGTTATTAGAAAACCAATCTTAGTTTACCTAGTTACTATGCAAGAATGACTAGGAGATGAAAGATACCACTGAGGTTATAAGGAAATAGAATACTGCAGAAATAATAGATTTGAGGAGATTTAAAGAAGTCTCATTTCATATGGTATGCATCCACCCTATGTGAAACAGTTGTTAAATTCATGGGCAACCCCCAAGACCAAAAAGATTCAGCTACAGTAGTATTGGAAGCTGATCCTCACTTACAATAGTGAACTTGGTAGACAGAGGAAGCTAGGCATATAAAACTAAGGAACAGGCCTAGAGGCATCAATGTTTTTTCTCAAGATCAACATCTATACGAAGGTCAATATACTGACTTGCAATAACAATTTGAATTTGATGACACCATGTTGCTTCATTATTTAGCTTTAAATGCTTGGGGAAAAGTTTAAAAATGAGAAAGAAGATCTGAGTCATTTATTAAATTAGACAAAGCCCAAAATAAGACTTCAATGCTTTTTTTTGCAAAGATTGATTTTAGCTATAAATAGGATAGTAACTGATTCAGAAGTCAGAAAAATATTGATTGAATATTTTGCTCTTTAAAATGGTAATTCATCAAGTAAAAGGGTGATTACATCTTTAATTCCAAGATCAACACCAACAGATAAATGGAATAGAAGACAGCTAATGTTTGATCTCACACTTCTGATGAGACTTTGATTGGAGGACTGAATTCTAAAAGTTTTAAGGAAAATCATGTCAGATGTTTTAATTGTGATAGGCAAGGTAATTTGAAACAGGATTGTAAACAAGTTGCTCTTAGAAGCAATCCTTTTTCTAGAGATCCAAATAGAAGGTCCCAGTTTTCTGGAGTATTCAGAAGGTATGCCAAAGTCTATCATTAAACTAATAAATGCAGATCAACAAAGGATAAGCAAAGTAACACTTTGGCAACAGGAAACACCTTAGGGGTCCTCCTGCAGGTCTCATTATCAAATAAGGCTTAATCATTCTCTTTTGGTATTAAAGACACTTATCCATAAAACAACTAAAAGACTTAATTTTTGTTGTTAAAAAACACACATCTCTGAATGTGATCAAGTACAAAACAGCTTCAATAGATAAAACAAAAAACTCAAGAGAGACCAAAAACAAGGATGTTGACAAACATCAAGACCAAAGCTAAAAATGCAAATAAATGACATTGTAATGGAATGTTTCATAGACACAGGCACAGTGGTAGCAGTAATTTCACCAAAATCAGGAAGTAAATGTTAAGCTTCTAAAAATGTGAACTTTATCCGAGGTAAAGTAAAGTAGAAGGTGGGTCAAATGCATAGTACCAAAAGGAAGATAGAGGAATTAAGGCCGAATGTGTCTAAGAAAACAATGAATTTATGGGGACTTGGTTTGTTACAAAGAGAAACATAGATTAACATTCCTCCAATCTCAGAAACAAACCATGAAAGAAAGAATATATCTGAGAGAAATATTAAAAGGTATTATCAAGAAAAATCACAGATCATTCAGGTTGTATATAAGCAGGCACAACAACTGTTGATCTTTCACAGATACCAATAGCCTGACCTTTAAAATGGCCAACAGACAAACCTGTCTGTGTGGAACAATGGCCCTTGACAACAGAAAAATTATAGGCACAAGAACAGCTGGTAAGGAGCAGCTAAATGCCTAATGTATTGGAAAATTGACCAGCCCTAGGCTTTCTCCTATATTTGTCATTAAAAAAATAATCTGGATACTATAGAATGGTAGCATATCTGAGAGCTATAAATAAAGTGATTCAACCAATGTACTCTTCACAGTTTGGGATTCCCTTCCCTTCTTTTTTTTTTTTTTAATTGAGAAAAGGAGAAAAAAAAAAACAAGTTTCTTCCTCCTCCCAGCCTCCCATTTCCCTCCCCCTCCTCCCACCCTTCTCCCCCTCCTCCCACCCTTCTCCCCCTCCCCCCACTCCTCTCCCCCTCCCTCTCCAGTCCAATGAGCAGTCAGTGTTCCCTGCCCTGTGGTAAGTCCTAGGTCCTCCCCCCTCCATCCATTTCTAGGAAGATGAACATCCAAACTGGCTAGGCTCCCACAAAGCCATCACATTACTTAGGATCAAAACCCTGTGCCATTGTCCTTGGCTTCTCATCAGCCCTCATTGTTTGCCATGCTCAGAGAGTCCGGTTTTATCCCATGCTTTTTCAGTCACAGTCCAGCTGGCCTTGGTGAACTCCCAATAGATCAGCTCCACTGTCTCAGTAGGTAGATGCTCCCCTCGTGGTCCCAACTTCTTTGCTCATGTTCTCCCTACTTCTGCTCCTCAATGGGACCTTGGGAGCTCAGTCCAGTGCTCCAGTGTGGGTCTCTGTCTCTGTCTCCATCCATCACCAGATGAAGGTCCTATGATGATATGCAAGATATTCGTCAGTATTGCTATAGGATAGCGTCATTTCAGGTTCCCTATCCTCAGCTGCCCAAGGAACTAACTAGGGACCTCGGCTTGGGCATCTGGGAGCCACTCTAGTTCAAGTCTCTTGCCAGCCCTAAGGTGGCTCCCTTAACTAAGAATTGTGGTTCCGTGCTCCCCTATCCAACCTTCCTTTATCCCAATCCTCCTTTTTCCCCAAGTTCCCCCCATTCTCCCCTTCTCCCTTTTCTCTCCCCATCTCCCCTTACCCCCATCCCACCCCACCCCCA